ATCTATAGAATATTTATAAATATATATATTAAAATTATATCTTATATTGTACTAATGATGTAAACATAATATAAACATTATCCAATAGCATATGTTTGTCAGAATTTTAAGTAAACATTTTTCTCGATAGTATCCTACATAAATATGAACGTGTTAATACATATATTAACTAAATACTTTTTCTGTTTTATAAATATTTACAAAGAGAATACAGTTTCCATCTAAATATATCCTATAATTGTTATATGTTTTAAGTAGTCATCATTGAGCATTAAAATATATATATAAATAAATATATTTTGGCACCTATACATTCTATATTATAACTCATTTCAGTCTTGGTGCATCGCTTCTACGTCTGTCTTAATTATTGTATCTTTCAAACTTGCATTATGATGAAATAAACATGATAATTATGTAAATATAAAAAAACATGTATTAAACTATTTGGATAAATTAACAAATATGTTCGTATCAAATAAATATTAGTTATTGTCATGCAAATACATATACATATATGATCATAAAATGAATGAAATTTGTATAATTGAGAACATTCTCAAACTTTAATCATTTAGCATTTTTAGAGGATTCTTTTAAATTTTGATTTTTAGATTCTACGGGTAAGGCAAGCGTAGCAATTGCTGCGCATAAAGCAGCAATGGCATATGTCGCCATGGCTCCTGTGATAGACCATTGTAGAAAAACTTGTGCTATATAAGGTGTTATCATAGCACCAATTCGTGCCATAGCGCTACACGCACTCACACCTACACTTCGTAAATGCGTCGGATAAACTTCTGGCGTGTAAACGTATGCTGCTTGAAATACTCCGGCAATTAATCCTCTTGCTAAAAATATTCCTATAGTCAACACTGCTCTACTCAACATACAAGCTCTTCCTAAGAAACAGACAACTAACGAGAACATAACTAATTGGCATGACATCGTTTTTCTTCGTCCTATTTTTTCTATCGCAAACACGGTAGAAAAAATTCCTGGAAATTCTGCCAATGTAGTCCACAAAAGATCTATGTAGTCACTTCGCCTTAAACGACATTCTAATTGACAAGTATTCTCTAATTTCTTCCCGCTTGCCCATGAGCCGCATTGTTCTGATGACGTATGGAATAGTTCTGTAGTCATTAATACCACACCATAGTAACAAAATGCTGTAGCCATCCTATAATTGATTACATTTACATGCAATATTCTAATGTTTACTACCATTACGATTAAACAATAAAATTATAATTAAATATAATAATATATCAGTTTGTTAATTTTATAATAATATTTATGTTTGTAGCAGAACTGTGCAAGTGTTAGAATACTTTTTATTTATTTATTTCTCATGTAATATTTTCAAGAGGTCTTGTATAAATCCAAATAAACCATCACCAAAATAAATGATAATTTTTCTATTTACCACACCAGCCAAAGTAAGGTAGAAGTCTTGCACATTTCCTTGCTTAACACATCCGTGAACCTACCGCGATTAGTTTGATAAAACCGATCCATAATTAATCTTCCTAATGGTAATGGTTTCTTATTTTCTCGTGCTATTCTTTCCAACGTAGATAAAGCTTTATCTATTTTACCAGTTGTCATATCAAATATTGCGGATTCTGGAATCCACTATTGAAATATAATTTAATAATTGTAATATGTTACAAAAATACATAAAATAACTTGGGAGTTATTTTTAGCTTACTGGTGTAATAGATGCAAATATAAGAAGTGGGATTGCTGATAAGGTAAGAAGCCATCTCCATCCAAAGTTTGGCATTACTATTAATGCTATTGCAACTTCAAGACACGCACCAAGTGCCCAGAAACACTAATAAAGATATATATACATTTAAAGAAGAAAATAATTACAATATAAATATTAAAGTGCCATTAATCCTTTGCACTATAAGCTGCGTGCCATATCCACTACTATATTTCATACATTGTTATAGTGAAAGGAATAATACTTACATCCAATAAAATAACGCATTTGGCTCTCTGTTTAGCTGGTAAAAATTCAGCGTACAACGTAACCCTGTTGAAAGGAAGAAATATATTGGGCAATAACATACAAATCTTAAAAAAATAATACAAATCTTATGTGCATTATATGGACTAACTAAATACTTACGATTGTGGTACACAACCAATAGCAAAACCGACTAATCCTCTCAGTAATAATATCCAAAGAAAATTAGGTGCAAAAGAACTTAAAAATGCATAATAAAATAATAATACTGCGCATAACGTTAAAGCTTGCTTTCTGCCATATCTATCGCTTAAATTACTCCAAAATGTAGAACTTAACATCATGCCAAGAAAGACAACCTGAAATAATAAATTATTTTTATTTATACTTGTAACACATTCAAATATTTCAGATTATTACCGTTGTCGTTAAAGCTTGTTGATACCGAGAAATACCCCAGTCACAATGTAAAGATGGACTGAGAATACTCAGTATAGTTATTTCCATACTATCTACCATCCAACATAATCCGGTAAACAATGAAAGTTTTACTTGAAACTTTCCAAAGCCCAATTCATTAATAGCTTGGACTACTGTGAAAGTATCTATTAATAAAAAGATTAAAGTAAATTTTTTATTACGCAGACTGTATAAAAAGTCTTTATAGCTTCAGATTATATACATCTTATTTTTGTTATCGATATAGTCATCATAGTAAAAATTAAATAATATTTACATCCCAGAGTTGAAACGAGAATTGTTTCATAATTTCTTAAAATATAGATATTACAGTGTAATTAGGTTTTAATTATATTAATCACCTCTCTACTATTAACATCAATGTTATAATTCCCCATAATTGTATTAGTTTACTCGAGCAGCCATTAGTCAAAGCGATCTTCGTAAACCTAATGGTATTCTATCATGCATTATTAAATATTTAATTGATACATGCAGTTATATCTTCTTTGAAGTTAAAAATGATGAATAAGCATGATTACCCTATAGAACAAAATATAACATATCTTGAAGTTTTGCTTTATGATATAATATATGGTAAATATTTTTTAGTAACAATAGTAAAATAATACAAGCTCATACCGTCAGGTATAACGACTATGGAGGAAAGTTCAATAGAACGATCAACGTTATCTTCAAAGGTGCTATTATTATATCTTCCATGATTTAGGGTTTCATTAACATTTAATTCTGAGCCACGTGATTCTTTCAATTCACGATACGGTTCGTTTGATTTTGGATTGTTCTGAGTTGTTGTCATTTTATTAACAATTTTCCATGAATTTATATTACCCGCTCAAAATTATTTCTATTTTTGATAATAATAATAATAATAATTGTTGTTGTTGCAATACAATGATTCTCAAACCTAATACAATAATATAAGACGACGATACTGATGATATTTAAGGCGAATTTTATTACAGATAATGCTCATTTGTATGTAGAGCGTAACATTTCTTCGTGAGCTTTAAGGTTATAACATACAACATAAATACCGTACGTCAAACTACGTCAAATGCATATGCATATACGGTAACAAATGTAAATTAGGGTGGGGATTTTCCGACAATTGATTTCATAATTTCCTTCTTATATTTTTGAAGATATTTTTCATGTTCCCTTATGGACACAAACAATATTACATTTTTATAGTAATTCAAAACAAGCATTCTTTTGTACTTTTATTTTGTAATTGAATATTCTGAGATTCTTGTCGATATATTTGAATATTTAATATTATCGATCGATTATCGAAATTTCCAAGGCCATCTAGCGAACAAGCGATCGAATTAATTTTCCTATTTTAATCTCCTTGAATGGGAACATTTGTTTTACATACAAATAAATAATATTAATGTTGAATTTAAGAATAAACACTAAATGCACATTAAATTTAATGTTTGATTAAATTAATTGTTAGACGAGTGATAGAAAATAAAAATTGGATGATTCTGAAACAATGTACGATCGTTGCACACATTTGATTTCTTTTTAAAGAATAATTTTCATTGGACGTCGGGAGCAATAGGAACGCCACGTGGCGGCATAAAGATATCGAACATTCATTTATTATTTAAAGAGTTACGTTTCTGAAGGATATTGTTTAGTAATGGACGTTTGTTAAAAAATTCGGTGTATCACTAAAGTAGACATTTTTAAATGGACGTTTTCTTTTTATTATTATCATTATTATGATTATTATTAAAATGTATTAGGCATGTGGAATATTATTAAATACGAGAAGAAAGGGATAAAAAAATTGTTTACACGCGACAACATTTCGGTGAGAATTGGTGCTTCAAAATCAAGCTATTGAATTAGTTTTTTAAACGAGTAATTTTCAATTAATTCGAATTTTTAAGATTCGCTTACAATAGTTTGTTATCTTTGAGTTAAAGAATTGTCTTCTTTTGAGGAGCAAATAAAAAAAATTCAATTCCAAGTACATGGTGTACCGGTGCCCAAATAATGAGTGTTGACAGCGAGAACAAGTCTAACGAAGCAATCGCACCATTCACTCCATCCGCTGATCAAGAGAACACTGGCAATGGTGATATTCCAATAACACCAGATATGGTGCTCCGACTGCCTACCATCACAGATAGTATGACAGTTTTATTTCGTGTTATTAATGTTATTATTAACTTAATGATAATAATGGCATATAGTTTGGAAACAAAAAAAAAACACTATGGAACCAAAGTTACATTGTTTGCCATCACCTAAGATAATAGATGCACATTATTTTCTTTTCTCATGGATCTATATATATACAGTTTTCACTATGCATAGTCAACATACTATGTGTTTCTACATTTTCTGTATCATGCCCATCCCAGAATCCCATTTCAATTTTGTCTTCACGCTTCTTTGGTACTGCAAAAGTATACAAGATGATACAAATGATACGTCTTGGCTCAAGACGTAAATGCGGTACCTATGTTCTTTTCAGAGTATTTATGCTCTCCGGAAGCTAATATTTATGACATAGACTTTACCAGATTCCAAATCAGAGATTTGGAAACAGGAGCTGTCTTGTTCGAGATAACTAAACCACCGGCTGCTGGTTTGTACTTGTTTCTTACATATCGTTTTAATATTTTTTGATAACACCAAATGTATGTTAACTTCTTGTTCAATTAGAATGCGATTCTCATCAAGATGCAGAGGCAGATTCCGAAGAATCTACTTGCGAGGATGCTAATACAGGAAGATTTGTGCGTTATCAATTCACGCCGCAATTTCTTAAATTAAAAACGGTCGGTGCCACGGTTGAATTTTTGGTAGGGCCCAAACCAGTCAACAACTTCAGGATGATCGAACGTCACTTTTTTCGGGATAGATTGTTAAAAACATTTGATTTTCAATTTGGATTTTGTATTCCAAATAGCAAAAATACGTGCGAACATATTTATGAATTTCCGACTCTACCAGCTGATCTAGGTGCGTATCACTTTTAAATATTTATTTTTTATGCTGATTTTTTCATGTATAATTTATTATAATAATTCATGTATTAAAGTTTCCGAAATGATTGCAAATCCATTTGAAACTCGCTCGGATTCGTTTTATTTTGTGGACAATCAACTGGTGATGCACAATAAAGCAGATTATGCATATAATGGAGGACACCAAAACGATGTGATTTAAAATGTTATTTGTTGGATAGAATTACTTGAAAGTTATATAGATTGAAAATACCATAATATTTGCACGTTATGAAAAGTAATTGCGTTGATAATTCGATTATGTACCAGTCTAACTTTTAAAGATAGAGTTACATATATGGCACTATCATTTGATTTAATCTTTTGCCATATTATTGCTGTCAATCATACGCAAAATATTAGAAATCTTTTTTGAACATACTTTTATTAATAGTATTTATGTCATCGATTATAACAGTTCAAACTAGTTGCACAACATAATTTGAACAATTTAATGTGAGCCATTTTGTTTTTCTACTTCTCGTATAATTTTTGCTTGAAACGAAATAAACGGCCTCAAACCACTTTGTGCATCTTACAATATTTTTTTCTCTAAATAAGAGAATATAATGCCTATATTAATATTTATATATATAAAAAAAAAACATGAGATATATATCATGTAGAGAAATTCTTACCTGACATAAAATTAGCAATTCGTTTATACTGTGTTACACATTTGCTACTCTTTCCACCCGTAATCTCTGTAAAAATTTTCACATAAATATATGTACATATTTACAAAAGGATAATTACAATGTTACTCTTACATATTTTACAAACATCACGACAACTGATTTTGATTAATAAAATTAGTGGCAATGTTGATAAACTCTGTTGGATTATCTGCATGTACCCAATGATTAGCACCATTGATATAAAGAAATTCAGCACTCGGAAATAATTTTTGTATAGCTGGATGATCTTCAACTTTTATGTAATCGCTATTAGAACCACCTATGAACAATGTTGGACCCATATAAATCTTCCCCTCTACATTAGGGAATACAGCAATTTCACTAGAGAAGTTTTGCTCCAATACCGGTAAGTTCACGCGCCATTTATATTTCCCAGGTTCTGCCTCTACAAGGTTCATTGTTAAAAACTAAAACAAAATTTTGTAAATAATATTTATTTATTTTTTATATATCATCACGATATAAAAAATATATTCTATAAAAACAATATGATTTACATACCTGTCGTAACGTCAATGGTTTAACGCTCTCCATGAGCTGTTCTTCTGCCATTTTACGTGCTTTAGTCAAGGATGGACTTCCATCTAATGTAACGGAACGCATGGCCTTAAAAATGCCCATCATTTGCATTAGACTAGGACTAGCTCTTGCAGGAGACATATCGACTACTAATAGCTTTTCAACTAATTCTGGAAAGTTTAACGCCAAGTACATCATAGTCGATCCCCCCATACTATGTCCAATTAGAATAGCTTTTTCAAATTCTAAATCATTTAATAACTGTACAATATCTTGTGCCATATGTTTGTAAGACATTTCTGACGAGTGAGGTGAATCTCCATGATTCCTTGCGTCGACCGCAATCACCTAAAAGTGATCCTACTTCTTAAATTTTTTAAAGGGAATAAAAAAGATATTAAAGAGAACAAATGACACAAAATGGTTATTATTGAAAACAAGGAGATTACAAAAAATTTGTTTACTACCTTACGTTGAGTTTTTTGATGAATCACTTTGGATAAAGAATTCCAATTATTCTTAGACCCAAATAAACCATGCATTATTACGATAGGATGAATAGTAACATTATTATTTTCTTTCATTGATTCATAGGAAGCATAAGCAAGTTTAACTGGTTCGACACTTAAAGAAAATACACATAGAGAAGTTAGTAAATCTTATAATTAATATTTTATATTTTCTAGTACGTACATAGTAGAATTGTTTAAGGTTTTATAAGTTGATAGAAATCGTAGAACGGAGGAAACCAATGTGACATTTAATCTTCCGAGATGAATTAATCTACTACTTTGAGTTGTCATTTGAATCATTGTCAAATACAGATATTATGAATGAAATGTAACGTTAAAGTCAAATCAACAATGTGGCAGTAAATTTATTTTAAATAATAACATATTAAAACTTCATATTACCCCCATTATTGTCTGAAAAAATTGATATGTTTTCATAATTTTAATCTGCAATACTATAGAAAAATTTAAGGCATACTCCACATTAGTTTTAATCTGTGTACAGCAATGATAAGTAATTATGCAAACCTTAGGAGAGTTTTTATGAAAGTACGTGTGCATTAGGTGATCTACAAATAGTTTTCAAATATTGAATAATTATCTTACAATAACGCAATCAGATTTGGGGTTATATTTAAATCTCTCTGGGAAATGAATTAATATATTTTTTCTACTCTTTTACATAAATATATATATAAATGATTATTTTATTTTATATTAAACTTTAAGAAAAATAAATTTGTATTACGTAGTTAATAAGTAAATCTATATAGCCAATCATATTTGAGATAGAATTTAAAGCTCTTGGAAATGAAAATGCTCTAGTAATAAAATAAATTAATTAAAATTTTTAAAAATCTTATACGTAAAAATATATGTTTATATTAAACTTTTTTTCATATATATACAAAAAACAAAAATTTTATATTACGCAGTTAGGAAGTAAATCTATATAGATTTATAGATTAATGGCAAAGTGCATACGTGGCGCTAGAGTAGCGAACATGTCTCTCTGAAGTGGCAGAAAAAAGAAAGAACATATGTCTTTTTACGTGGTCTTACTGTAGAATTTGGTAAAATGAGTTGGATTATTTCGTGTTTATTCTTAATTATATCAAGTGTCTGTGTTAGAGCATACTTTATAACGGTTGATGCTCATGCGGAAGAATGTTTTTTCAATAAAGTCGACATTGGCACCAAAATGGGTTGGTTTATCATGCACATTTGAATCATTCCTTCTAGTATTATGTCAATGTATATATAAACAAAAATAAGTTAATTAATTATAATTATTATTATATTTACTTATTAATATATCATAAGTAAGCTATAATTAAATTTTTGCATATATATACATTAACATTTGGTTCAGTAAAGGTTATACATTGCAACTCATTCACATAGTTATCTCTGTCAATGCTAATGTTTAAATTAGTATTTTAAAAATTATCTTTACTATAATAAGCTATAATTTATTTTTTGTATATATATATATATATATATACATTAACATTTTCTTCATTGAAGATTGTAAAATTTAGCAACTTATTTATATAAGTATTTCTGTCGACGTGTAATATTTACATTAGTATTTTAAAAATGGTCTCAACTCAATTAATTTATATTTTTTTTCTTTTAGGTCTAACATTTGAAATAGCAGAAGGTGGATTTTTAGATATAGATGTAAAGATAATCGGTCCCGACGGTAAAATCATTTATCAGGGAGAACGAGCAAGGAGTGATAAATTCACATTCGCGGCGCATACTGCGGGAATTTATACATATTGTTTTAGTAATGAAAAGAGTACAATGACTCCGAAGGTTGTGATGTTTAATATGGATGTAGGTGAAAATCCTAAGCAGGAAGAAGGTGCTGGCGGTGGAGGTGCAGAGGGTGATACTAATCATGGAAAGTTAGATGATATGATTAAAGAATTAAGTACCAGTCTATGGGGTGTGAAAAACGAACAAGAATACATGCAGGTAATTTGTTATACATTTATAAATGCATTGTATCTACACAAATAATTTCATGTTAAAAGACGATTAAAATGATGTATATAAACATTTCTGATAAATGTTAAATTTGTTATTTTCAGGTGCGTGACAGAACTCACAGAGCAATCAATGAAAGCACAAATTTCCGAGTCGTTGTATGGTCGTTCTTTGAAGCCACGGTATTATTGCTCATGACCTTAGGACAAATTTACTATTTGAAAAGATTCTTCGAAGTTCGAAGAGTCGTTTAATTTAGGTCATTCCGCAATAAAATCATCCGTTCATTGTACATTTTTCTATGTAACTAAGTTATGTAAGATTATAAAATATCATCCTTTGGAAAATTGTTTGTATTTTATATCGTATTTTATTATATAATAGATACCCTACACGTAAGACACGCTTGTTTTTTTATAGAGTAATATTCATGCATTGTATTATATTTTCGTTTTTGGAAAAAATCTTGTTTTTATTTGTTTAAATATGTTTTGTATTATTGTAATATGTTTTAAAAACAAAAAATAATGCACATGTAGAATGACTAGGGGAATGGCGATGGCAGGCGACAAGAATTTTTGTTCTTAAATCCAACGTCGAACATTTTTCTCGGTGCAATAGCCTTAGGATATTCCTGGGTAACTACTCATTTCACTCGCGAAGCAGGCGTGAGAATAAATGAATCAAATGAGGAGGGTTGTACAAGTACCCTTCTAGTGTCCTCCCTACGGTACTTAAACCAGAAAAACTCATTGTGCCCTCCTCCTCATTAGATGCCACCTAGCAGTCCCGGCCAAGATAACAATACCGTTCGTGTTTTTCTTCAACGATCTGTAGTTGAGAGAAAAAGAAAAAGAAAAAGGAAACAAATAGTGTCTACTTATGCATAGGGATTGTTTGTCATTCTTTTATGGCGATACTAAATATATACATTCATACAGTGCCGAACAAAAGTATTGACACAGACTACATTTTCTTGTAACATTTTTTATTGATTTATATAAAAAGTACGATTGTGTAGTTAATTCTTTTTTTTGTTAAATATATCTATAATGTTCAAAGTTTAAATATATTTTAAGCTACGGAAAGATTAAATTGGTGTAGAATATATAAACAAAATAAAATATGCAAGAAAGCCCTGTTTTTAATTATAAAATTATTTTTAATTATTAATCTTTTATTGTCCGATTTTTTTTTCGTCATTACGAAACAATTTTCAAAGATACAAAATTTATTTCCATATTTCAAGCTTGAGTTGATTATCAGTATAAACAATCTCTTACTTAAAATAAAGATTATGAAATAATTATATATGCGTCATATACAGGGAAAGAAAAAATAATATAAATTTATCGATATGTGACTTCAAAGTTACAGGAGAACCTATAGAGATTTAAATAATAATTTTTCTTTATCGTACACCTATTTAATTTTTATTACTATGTGTGAAAATAATTAAACTTTATATAGATTATATAGATATATTTTACAAAAAAAAAAAGAAATTAAAAAAAATATTTAATTACTAATTAAAAAAAATTAGAGTTCATGCCAATATCTCTCTTCGACGCTGTATATATTGCATATATAGTAAGTTTAAAAAATATTTGCAAAAAAAAGTTCAATCTCGTTCGAATTATAAAAAACAAATATAAGATGAAGTTCCAACAGATGAATAAAACTTTATCGAATTATTGATCTTTCATTTGATATTTATTATTGTTTTAATTCAAGAACTTCTTCAATGCCGTTTACGATCGATCCAAGGGATCGAAGTTTCTATCTTGTAAGTTGATATCGATATCAACTTCATTCCTTTCATAGTCTAGATGGTACGTACTCGTTTCGATTCTAAGAACTACGTACTGTACATACTATTACTACACTACTACTACTACTACATATGTATGCATTGTAGAAGAGTAAAACGTAATACATGGCTGGGGATTGGAGCGATCGTTTTCTTTCGTCTCACGATGCGAATGAAGGCACTCCTTGATGTCACTCCGGTCATCCTAAGAAATAAATTGTTTACGCTTCTTCGATACGATCGAAATGATTTCGCCGCCGTCGTCGTCGTCGTCGTTGACGCCTTACCAGGCATTGAAGTTACATGTGGCAACCCGAACGTAAACGATTTCTCAACTTACTCGACGTCAAACATCAAAATATCTTAGCGAATATGATGACAGGGATGAACAAACTTTTAAATATTAATATATTCGCGATGGGCCTGTTCGGACGAGACGTTTAAGTGGATAATTCATAAAATAATTTGAAATACAAAATATATTACTTACATTATAAAATAAATAATATTACAATTTAGCATAGTTCTCTCAAAATAAGCAAATATAATAAAAACAAATATTTTACTATCCAATGAAATTGAATAAACAAATGAATAATTATAATTTAATATTTTATGACATAGGATTTATGTCACCAATATTCAGTTAAATAATTTGAAATGACGTAGTATTACGTTTTCGGTCCCGAATGTGTTAATAATAATAAATTTTGTTAAATAAAGTCGTTAATATTTGGCAATATGTTTCCAGTTAATAATAATTATACGTTTTTGTTTTGGTTTTAAGACTTGCGCCCAATGGTTCTAAAAAAAAAGAAAATATACTATTTGTATCTTGTATCTTGAAAAGGATCATTAATAAGATCTTCTAAGTTAATCGTTTCTTCTTTTTCTTATTTTTTTTTTAGGATGATCTTCCGAAATCTCTGACAATCCTTGAATGTTTCGGTCGTGACGATTCGAATCTCGAAATACCGTGGTAGTATCTTTTCGTGGTAATGGTCGAGACAGAAAATAATCGATCGACGGCAATTTTTATTCTCAATCGCGAGGGAGAAGAAAGAAAGAGTGAGAATAAGAGAGAGAGAAAGAGAGAAAACAAAAAAGAAGAAAAAGATCGAGCGGATAATGTGGAGAAGGTCGATAGCGAGCGTGGAAAGAGGGACATTTTAAATGAAGTAAAGTAATCGTTTTCTCTTTCTCTCTTTCATTTTAATTAGAGAGATAAGGAAAACCTGAGAAAATAATCATTTAGAAATGGTAGGTCTACTTTACAGTTCTCACGTGCATTCTCTCGTTCGACTATTAATCGGATAGAAAGATAGAGAAGAAAATAAAAGAAAATATTGTACAAGGGAAACAAATTGGGATGCATCAACGAAATTCAATTATGTATAAAAATATGTTAAAAAGGTCAACATTTAACAATTATTTATTAGGAAACATTAACAATTACTTTAGTCAGTTTTATATTTACAGTGAGCCAACGTACCACTTCACATTGCAAATTTGAAATAATTAATATTTGCTTGTAACACAAAGCTTCAAAATTCTTATACACAGAAATTTATTTTAAGATTATTAAAATTTGCAAAAGAATATTTTATTGTTAGTGAACGATATAATTTTACTTATATGATACAAAATTAATCTCGCGAGAGTATTTGGGTTTACATAAAATATAATAAAAATACAATGATTATTTTTCTAAGTAGAGTACTCGGTTGATCCTCCCTTGACTTGAAAACAATTGAGCATATCTTGAGACTAATTTTCTTATTAGTTATGTACAATTTTACTTTTATTATAATAAAAATTACTCTTTTAGAATAAAATTTATATCAATTTACAAGAGTTTAAATAAATCCTAAAATATATATATATATATATTTTCTTTTTTGTATAAGAATTTGACAACATAACATTACAAGCAGATTTAAAATATACAGTAGTGGTACGAATACTCCTCTGACTCATTGTATATTTTTTGTTCCAAGTTATTAGACAAATTTATCTTTCAAACTGACAGAGTTACCCAGTAATTTGTTATACCCAAAATTAACCAGATTGGAATAAAAGGGAACCCTAAAGTTAACAATCGGGGAGGCCACTCTTTCTTATGAGCGACAGGAGCCAATTCCAAAAGAAAGAAAGAAAGAATGAAAGAAAGGAAGGAAGGAAGGATACCCGATGAGTTCGAAATGTTTTTCCAGCGTAACGACCGAAAAAAAAGTCCCTTTCCGAGGGAATCTCTCTTTCGTTCTTCGCAAAACTGGTTAAACTCGAAGAGAGAAAAAGTGAGAGGGAAAGAAAGAGAAAGAGAAAGAAAGAAAGAAAGAGAGAGAGAGATAGAGAGAGAGAGAGAAAGACAGAGGAAGGAAAGAAAGGCCGACCCCCAAAGAAAAGGACAAACCGCATTATTACGAAGAATAGCGTCGTTCCTCGTGCGTACGAGCACGTTCTTATACATACATACATGCATACATACATACAAATATCCATAAATATATACGCACTTACGTACTCGTTCTTTCTGGTCTTGGCATCGCTATTCCGGCGTCCTTGAACAATGATCCGAATGCGGAGCAACGTACCGTTTCCATCTCGAAACGCACGATCCTAATCGTTAATTGGGGGGTAGCTCGATCATGCTAGCTACCCTCCCCGGATATTCTTTCGAAGGGGTTGCTGCCAGGGTGGGTAGGTAGGAAGGTAGGTAGCTAGAGCTATGTATATCCTGGTCCATAGAGAAAAAGAACGAAAGAAAGAAAGAAAGAAAAAATGAGACAGAGAAAGAGAGAAAGAAAGAAAGAAAGAAAGAAAAGTGAAGGAACGAAAGAAAGGAGCTGCTAATTGACACGAGCGATTGCACGTAACGGTATAATTAGAGAGAAGAATACGGAGCCCGGGCCGGTGCACCGATGAACCAATGAACCGGCCAGGAAACGAGAGAAAAAGAAGAAGAAGAAGAAGAAGAGGAGGAGGAGGAGGAGGAGGAGAACGAGGAGAACGGAAAAGGGGGCGGTTGAACGAAGAAAAAGAGAGAAAGAGAGAGTGGGGGAGGAGGGGAGGAGAGAGGGAGGACGAGAAGAAAGGACAGAAAGGCAGAAAAGCAAAAGGGGAAGAGAAGCAACGGCGACGGTGGCAGCCGCTGGGTTTCGTGCGACCGATCGAGGGGGCTCCCTCTTTGCCAAGAGTAAGAGAGTACAAGAGAGATCGAACTAGTTGGAAAGAAAGACTGAAAGAGAAAGAGAGGAACACGTCGAGGAGAACAAGGATGGAAGAATCGTGCGAGAGAGCGAAAACTAACGAGAGTAATAGAGAGAAACTTAGAGAAACCGAGAGAGAAAGAGACAGAGACAGGGAGAGAGAGAGAGAGAGAACAAGGAAAAAGGGTAGATGAGAAAGAGAAAAAAATCGTGGATTTTGGTTGATCCGCGAGCATTCCGTAGCATCTCAGCACGGCAGTAGGTTTCACACCGTGATTCGTACCCTAAGGGCTGGCAGCAGCAGCAGCAGCAACAGCAGCAGCAGCAGCACGAGGCGGTCCTTCCACGAGGAGAATCGTTCTCCATGGTCTTCTCTCTTTCTCTCGTTCTACGTTCTCTCTCTCTCTCTCTCTCTCTCTCTCTCTCTCTCTTTCTCTCTCTTTCTCTCCCATTCGCTCTTTCACGCGCGTCTCCCTCCTTGCGTCGGTGCCGAAGGAGGCAAAGCACCACACACCGGTGCCGCGAGGATCCCTCGACGTAGTCGCGCTCGACGCCTCGAATGGCGAGCGTCTCTCTCTCTTTCATTCTCTATTCTAATTTCTTTTTTTTGTCAATTCTTCCGTTCGTTAGGAAAAGACCAATTATTGAGAGGGTGGAAAATTTATTAAACAAATTTGCCATTGAGGATTTATCTATACGCGATTGAAGATTTTTACAGAAGTCATTGAAAGCTAAAGAAAAACGAAATAAAACGAAAAAAGAACAAAGAGAAAAAAAAAAGAAAGAAAACTAATAACAACAAGGAAATATTAAAAAAAAAAAAAAAAAAAAAAAAAAAAAATTCTATCGGTAAAAAAAGAAAATTAGATGCAGTGTAGAATAGTTTAAAGGAGAAAAGGGATAATAAAGGAAAAGGAAGAGATCCGGTGGTGTCCNAAAAAAAAAAAAAAAAAAAAAAAAAAAAAAAAAAAAAAAAAGGAAAAATTAAAAAAAAAAAAAAAAAGAAAAAAAAAACATTCTATCGGTAAAAAAAGAAAATTAGATGCAGTGTAGAATAGTTTAAAGGAGAAAAGGGATAATAAAGGAAAAGGAAGAGATCCGGTGGTGTCCCCTAAAGGAATAAAGATATAGATCGGAATTACTCCAGAAACGATTGCTACTTCTTCCGAGTAAGAGAGGGAGACGAAAGAGAAAGAGATTCCGAGAGTTTCACGCCGAACGTTCGATCGTTTACTTGCTCGTTCGTTCACTTGTTCGTTCATTCGTACGTTCGTTCATTCGTACATTCGTTCTCCTTTTGCTTTCTTTTGACATCGTCAGCAAGACTCTTCTCGTTTCGTTTCGTTTCGTCTTTTCGTCTCTTCGTTCGTAAACGAGAGGATCGTTCGGTTCGATCTTACATAGAAATAGTAGACAGAGAAGGACTTTTACGTCGCGTGGGAGTCGAATACTCGCGGGCGCGAACGCGCGCGCGCGATCATCCAACCAACCAACCAACCAACCAACTAACCAACCAACCAACCAACCAGCCAGCCAGCCAGCTAGCTCACCACCAGCTAGCTTGCTAAGCTCACGTAAATCGACCTGATATCGAGATTTTCAGCGAACGTTTTAACCGTTTTAGAAAGGAGAACGAGTAATATCGTAGGGAGGTATCAGGAAAGTTCTTTCGCATGGGAAGAATCTCATCGTCGTCGTTTCCTCGCGTTTCTATTTTTTTTTTCCTTTTTACCTTTTTTCCTTTTTTTTATCTTTTTATATAATATATTTACACGCATATATATATTTGTATATAAATATTCAAAACCTACCTACATATATCCGTAGTAAGCACGATCTAGCAAACTCGCGCTGGCACCCAACGCATTGTTCTCCGTAGGTGTTTTACGAGCGTTTCGTGGAATCTCCAAAGCAAACGTAGAAAGTGAGAGAAAGAAAAAGAGAGAGAGAGAGAAAGAGAGAGAGAAATAAAGAAGGAAAAAGTGAAAGAAGACGTAGAGAAACGGACAGGAGAAGAGAGAGGAAAAAAATACTAGAAAAATAAAAAGGGAAGGTTTGCTTTCGAAGAAACGTTCAATAAGTTGTTAAAACAAATTCCTCCTTTCGGAAAAGAACATCGACAAATCATCATCATCATCATCATCATATAATCGTCATCGTTGTTATCGTCGTCGTCGTCTACGACTCTGTTGGAGAACCCGTTGATAAAATAACCGCGCGAAATAGCGGCGTGTCTTTTTAATCGGTAGAGATCGCTAAGTGTTAACAGTACACGAATGCCAGGTGTTCGAAACTTCGATGAAACAAGGTGTAATCGGTGCTCCTCCTCTCTTTCTCTCTTTCTCTCACTCTCTCTTGCTCTATCTTTGGTTCCGTTGACTCGACGAAGCCGATAGCTACGGAGGAAATGGGTCGAGAGGTTTCCGTCAGGCAAGAGTGTCATTGAGTGCTTTGAAAAACAGAGACGAAGGTATTTAACGAGTTTCGTAAGAATAAGAAGAAAACTGAAGAAAGGGGGAAATTAATACGAAAGCTAAATCACGAATATCAATTGAATTATTCGATTTCGTTTGACCACAAGAGTTTTTCGGTTCGATCTTGGTCAGTGTACACGCGCGCGCGCTTTTTGAAAATAAATAAAAAGAAAAAGAAAAAAACTTTCTGTTCGCTAAGAAGATCTCGAAAGGATTACGAAAGAAAGACTCGGAAGAAATAGTCGAGTGAGGAACGGTGACAAATTGGAGACAAAAATGATAGACGAAAGTTTAATCTACGTGGTGGATGATGTGCGGCACTCGATCCATTTGACGAAGGAAATACAGGCGCTAAGTACGACTCGTTGAAAGTTCTCCCTGTTTGTTTGTTTGCTTTATTTTTCCTCCTCCTGCTGATACTTTTCCTATTTCTCTTCCTTATCCTCGTTCATCTATTCTAAAAATTCCGGCGCGTCGTTGATACACGTCTTTTTGGTACACGTTGTAAATTTCAAGTGAACTTATTCCTAGCCGATGCAAAAGGCGTTCGTTATTCTATTCCACGAGGAGTAAACAATTGCACGCTGGTTAACGACGTTGGATATCATCGATTGGTGAGTAAACTATTGCCGATTTGTCACTGTTACATTGAAATTATTTGTCCACGCTTCATCGAGCACTACCTTTTCTCCATTAACTTCTTCCTTCAAACAGATACTCGAATCCTTTCGCGATTATCAATAATACAAAGCGTTACCATTAATAATACGAATAGACCTTACCTTACAACTTTCTAATGATAAGAAGAAGAAGAAGAAGAGAAGGAGGAAGAAGGAATAGAATAAGGCAATGAAAGAATCGTAAAGATAGAAGTGTTGTACATGTTGATACGTAAGTAAGTATATGTAGACGGAAGCCGTATTATAATTCGCATGATTTTACGTACTTTCTAGACAACTATCTTTCTTATATCAAACGTCTTCTTGTTGAAAATATACAAGGTGGTTTAAAATATGTAAGCATAACTTTAAGGGTGGTTTTAATACATTCAAATAAGAACAAAAAGTTCATATAATAATATCAGCCCGATGTGACAATATATTTTCGAATTATAATTGTTTTCTTTTTAAATGTAAACTATCGTAGAAATTTATTAACAAATTTCTATACGTATTGTCATCCCCAACAGAATATACTAAACTGATTTAAGATATGGCTCAAACAGTAGAAAAAAAGATCGTACATGAAATAAAAAGCTTGTAAATAATTGAAGCAAAAATAGTTATAATTCTGAAATAAAGCGTCGTATCGGTATTTTATGATTATATTAATTTTTGTTCATATTTTAGCAAGTACTGCTAATCATCAACTTTTGTTCTTATTTCAAGGATACAGAAACTACCCCTAAAGTTAAGCTCAAATATTTTAAGACACCTTGTAGATGCATGTAATTAGAAAGGAGAGTTCTTATATACTTTGGTTCGAACAAGTGTGTGTGATCGAACGACACGTGTGTTTACATACATACTTATATACTTACCTACGTATTTTAAGTACAACTACCATGTATTATAAGAGGAATTTCTTTTTTCAAAAAAGAGAAAGAAGAAGAAAAAGAAGATGAAAAAAAAGAAATGAAATCTTGACGTTCAACGGTATATGTAAGGCTCTAGGAAATATAGGTGGGAGGTATTCGGTATGATAAAAGCGACCACGAAGATAAATTCTCATCGGCGCGTCCGCCAAGCCGTAAAGAGATGCATCGGCATTGGACACGTAACGTGGCTTTTGCCGATCGGCAAACCTAAGAGCAAGTACCCAAGGAAGACGTTGCTAGCTCAGAATTTATTCCTCGTAATCGCTAAACTGGCAATGATTTAACGATGTCTCGAAAGATTAATCGGCAGCCTCTTTTAACGACTCTTAATGCCGCTCGTAAATCATCATACTTAAACCTTTGAGCGTTAGAGACTGATTTTATTGTATTTTCACTGGCTAATCATAGTGCTCCGATTCTTTCCACTTTTAATCGTCTCGTCGTATATTTTCTTAAGTTCCTTGATTTATTTTATGTAAATACATAGATACTTTCTCCATTTTATAATGGCTAAATAAAATATAATTAAAAGCAGCGTTCCGGTATCTTTTCTTTTTCTTTTTTATGTTTTTTTTTCTTACAATATTTTTAATGTCTCAAATGCAAATAAGAAACTTTTGGAATCACTGTAAACTTGTATTCAATTATACGTTTTTACAATTTTATTCAATATTTATTCTGTAGTTTGATATTTGCATTTGCTCGTTTAATTTTATAGATTTGATCATGTCTAAAAAAAGCAAAAAAAGAAAAAGAAAAATGAAGATAATTTAATGTTTAATTTTGTACGATTTGTGTGGCGTAGGAAAAAGGTGCTTTAAATTTAATTTAAATGATATTTGAATGTTATTTTCTCGAATAAAAATCTTAACCAAGAAGAGCGGAGTTCCGAAACCTGGCGATAAAATTAATAATTGTTCACTCGACGACGAGAGAGAGAGAAAAGAAAAAAAGAACGAACAGAAGGATTTTAATTGACTCGCAAATCTAATTATTCGATCTCTTCTTAGAATCTCAATGGCGATAATATTTAGCATTTTGTTTGGGGTCGTGGTTTCGAATGTAACTTTGCCTACACACGATTCGCGACGACGACTACGACGACGACCTTCTCGATTCAGAGCGCAGAATTTATGCATCAACGTCTCAGGCTACCTGCGAACGTGGGTATCTCGAGGATACGGCAACGATCTCTTAATTACTCGAGCAAACGACTTTGCTGACAGGGCTAATAATTGAAGTCTTCTCTGATGGTTGGTTGATCGAGTAGATTAATAATAAAGCTTGATGTATTATAAGCGCGAAATTAGCTACTATCGCGAATACTTCAACTCGATGATACTTATTTTAAAAAATCGAGCCAAGGGTGCAATAATCGACGTTCGAGAAAACTCTTCAAACGCGTAACGCACAAAAATGCGATCACGTAAGCGATTGATTGGAATGCTTTTCGTTGGCGTTATTGGAGCGATAAGTCTTACTCGTGTTGGTCAGTCGTAGGAGAAGGAAAAAAAAGAAGAAGAAGAAGAAGAAAGTACAAAAAAAATTATAGAATGAAAGCACAAGTAACGTTAATGGTTTTACCGACGCCATTCGTAAATCAATCGAGAACCGTATAATAAAAGAGAACGCTTAGCCAACAATCCCAGCACTCACGTTTATCCTAACGATTATTGCTTGATTACGTAGGAAGTAGCTGCATTTATGATTGCTGCGTGAGCGCTCGCACGCTTAAGAAAAAGAAAGAAAGAAAGAAAAAAAAGAGAAAGATCCATATCGAGAAACGATGATAGCTGCTGCCTCCTTCTTCTTCTTTTTCTTTTACTTCTTCCTTTTCTTCTTCGTCCTCGTAGTTGTCGTCATCTTCGCAAAAGCGCGCGAAAAGAAACGAAGAAAAAATACGCGCGCCAAAAAGGACAAAGAAAAGAAAAGAAAAAGAAAAAAATAACAAACAAAAGGGGGAGAAAAAAAATATTCAAAATTGGCTTCGATATTTTGTAAGGAACGATAAAGCGATATGTGCGTCAGATTATCACTGGCATTAAAAACTTTCTCTGTCGTGTTCGTGGACGAGCTGACACGCCGCTGAAATCTTATACAGCCCCGTAATATCGCGGTATACGGGATTTACAGCGCCATAACGAACGCATCGCGGATTTTAACCGGCGACATTCCCCGCTCGCCAACGAGTTTTATCCGCGCTTTTATCTCGTGCCTTTATAATGAAAATACGAACCGTAGGCGCGAGTACAAGACACGCGCGCGCGAGCGAGCGTTTCACGTTCTTCGTTCTCTGAGAGCACCTGTAAAAACGATTTCTCCTTCGGAACAAAAAAATACTCGTGCATCTATTTGTGCTTGCTATTTGCTTATGGAGTTTGTACTATCTAAAATGTCTTTGTAATTTCGTCATTTTATATATATGTATATATATATATAAACATTGAATATTTTATTGAAATTTAATATTATTCTATGCTGGTCTAATGGAAAGGTTACATAGATATCCTCATGAGTTTTGTACATATACGAAATGTTAATAGTAATTGTCTAATATTAAAGTCATAGATATATCGCGTGCCATTACAATAAACTTGACGATTAATTATAAATCTAATAAGTATCGATGTAAATGTTAGAGAGATCGTATGGTATAGGGCAACGTTTTTGGGCAACCCGTAAATTACTTATTACACTACTACACAACACAACTACTTGACGCTCCATACCTCAACGTAATAACATTTTGCCAATTAAAAATCAGTCCTCGCCGGAGGATAAATTAGTGCAGCTACGATGTTAATAAGGTACCTTCGCGAAAGCGTCGTAAAAGTTATGAGTTACGGCTGAACGACTCCCCAAGCGCGTAGCTACGCTCAAGTAACGTAACGTAACGTAGTACGTAGAGGCGTACAGTCCACCGAATCGAGGCTAACAAACAACAAACCGTTTGCCATTTACAGGAAGAGATTATACAGGCCGTTGAATGCAGAAGATGCATACGGCTTTCGCGCGTTATACGTGTACCATGCGACTAACGAGCGAGCAACGTTCGAGCCTTTGGATAATTGCGTGTGCAACGTGCCTCCGACTTGGTGTAGGTACTCATATACTTTTGGATAATTCCATAACGTATTTAGATTCGAACACGTTATTATATTTCCACGATTACATCTCTATCTACGGGTACGCGGCATATCTCGCGTTCACTCATTGCCTCAGGTCATGATTTACATTGCTAGAATATTCGATTGAGACTTTTAGTGGAACGAGTCAATAATTTGATCGCGATAAAAATACGCAATAACTGCAACCAGTCGAATTCCGGCCAATTATAAGCTAATAAATATCCTCGTTATCACCTACTTTATATATCCTGTCGATTTTACCTATCGTAATGTTAAGGAAATGAATAATATTTTATTACATTACGATCCTGACAAGCGTCGATCAGGCTCACTGTACCTGTACCAGCAGCAGCTCTTCCTTCCAGGTTCAGATCTCCTATCTCCTCACCAGCTTTTCTCTCTCTTTCTCTCTCTCTCTCTCTCTCTCTCTCACTCTATCTCTTCTCCCCTCATCTGGTCCCTCCATACTCCCTCCTCACCCTTCCCTCCTCTCTCCGACCTCGTAGACAGGCTCTCGTTTTCTTCTGCGTACGTACATCTCGAGTGTGTGTACACCATCCTTAGCTTCCAGCTTCGTTAAGAGGACTCGAGTTGTCTTGGTACTTCGCGTGAAAATCTAGAATCGATTCGTTCGCCCACCGATCGACTTAACGCTCCATTTTATTGCCACGGTCGTAAGCCTTAAATAAAAGTTAATATCAAGGATCGTGTTGGAAGGACGATTATTAAATGAAAACGTTCGTAAGTATTATACACGCGTGCGTACGGAAGCTGGAAATAAGAAGAGTCATGATCATTCAGGATGATCCTGTTGTCCTCGGGCAGGTTGCGATCACGAAGTTGGATGAGTCGGTCATACGCCATGATGGTTTTATGGTGATCCGTCTGGATTATCTCTTGGTCATATAGGGCTTCTGTGGGCAGAACAAAGAATATGTTAATAAAAGGTACCGTACAAAGCGTCGTGCTTTCTCAGATGGTCCTCGCATTTGTCCCATCTATTGTGAAGGAAGATATTACATAGAGAGAAGGAGAAGAAAATTGGCGAGTGTATTTACGAGGACATAAGTTCAACGAAAAATATGATAAATGAGATGGGCTATTCAATAAGCGTGTCAATGTGGACGTAGACAAATTATTCTTTGAAGAAATTCGAGAACGGGGGCTTTATCAAGCCGAAAGAAATATCGTAAAGACGTGTATATTATATCTTGGATATTAGGGTCATTAACTTGCCGATCGTCAGGAAGGATTGTAATTCTGATCCTTGATGAGAAACCGAGAGCGAGGGCACTTATGTACTTACATTGTACATACATTAGGCGTGACGTATGTATGCATGTATGTATTGTATGTAAGTAGATACATGCATACTACGTAAAGAAAGAGAAAGAGAGAAACGCAGCTCATTCGGCAACAAATGTAGCGGTGCTTATATTACCCACGGTCATGTCTTGTTCAACACACCGGGGAGATACTTTATTGCTGATAATTCGAGCCAGCCCGTGAGACATGCCGAAGCACGCCATTTACATTCCTGTCGCGATCACAAATGTATTTTATATACCGGCTAATATCCTGCTCGATCGCGTGGGCTAGATACATAGGCGCGTACGTGTACACAAATACATGCACACATATGTATGCAAAGAGAAAGAGTCACAGGTAACGTACAGTATGATGATACGTCTTTGTACTAGTAGTGATGACCGGTGCGTGCACGTACTGATCCTGTGGGCAGCCATGATCTTTGCCTTCGAACGAAAAACATTCAAGTCCTACCGATTATGGTACATCGATTCGACGTTACACCTTGCTCAGACTTTCTCGCTCCTGGACCCATACTTGAGCTTGGGCCCTTGCCTCTTTCGATTTTACTCTTACCAAGCGAGCTCCAGCCACGACCGGATAATATGAACTACGTCCTTGAGTTACGAGTTACAGACTGCATAACTTTTCATTTTATACTCCCGTCCTATTGCCCTTACACGCGTACGATCTTAAGGATAGATAGTCCTAATTTTTTCCTCTCCCAACTAGAGATAAAATCATCGAAGGGTTGCCTCGCTCACCCATAATAAAGTTACTTTTTCGTACTTCCAAGATAACAAATGCAAAAAGCATTCTTTAGAAAAACTAACGCTACCGGCCGTTTCTGTATTCGTAACCACGACCTTCCGGTTTACTCGGTACACCCTTGTCTCTTCCTATCGAGGATAAGAGGATTACGAAATACTTTCCAAAGTGGAATCTAGAAGTACCGATTGAACTTGAAAAGCGACCAGATATCTAGACGCTTCGTGCTTTTATCCACCTCTGAATTCGGAAGCTGCAAATGGCACTTATCCTTATCGCGTTTAGCTGTACTGTAGAAGGCAATTGGCACAACCTAATGGCACGCGATATTGGTGTTTTGTTACTTTTGTGATATTACATTGTTGGAAAAAGAAATGTATTTGCATTTCATTCCGATTTCCGATACAGACCATACTTATCATACATTCGTAAGGAAAATAAGTGTAAGCGACGTTCGACTATTGATTCTTCTGTCTCATCAAAATATGGATTCAATAAAGACATCCTAACGTTCTTAATACCGAAGTGTGATATGTAACTCTGACAAGGAACGCAAGAAAATTCAATAATGCAGTAGTCTAAGGTTATCTCTATCGAGCGCGGAAATATAATTAAGCTCGCGTTTACCCTCGATAGACTTACTGTGGCAACTCTCGCAACAGTGTGTCTTGTTGAGACCGAGTTGAGGAAGAATTACATGGCTACTGGGATATAAAAATTGAACGGGTGCGTAGAGCTCGTCTGGTGAGTTTTCGTTCTATTAAATCAAAAGCTTTCGAAGCGATTATGGGTACATGGATTCGACGTTGCACCTTGCTCATACATGATGGCTGGCTTACGTGCTGTGTTGCTCTCTTGGTCTGGTTCGGCCGGTACTACTGGATAAAATATATCACTGGTATTAAGTTACGACTGACAAATTTAGTAACTTAAACCTTGTTTGCTTGCTTCGACTCGATCGTTCGTTCGTTTCGTTCGTTTCGTTCGTTCATTCGTTCGATCGTACTTTAAAGACACGATGTTTGTATGTACTACGAATTATAGCAATCTAATTACTTCAGTTACATAAAGCATTAGAAAATAACGTCACGTTAGTTCAAAATGTCTTTTTTTATTTGCCACTTTGCACATATGTAGAACATACCAAGTCGAAACAGGAATTATATATCATTTATTATTTCTTTCATTTATAATACGAGCAAAGAAAGGTATTGACAGGAACTGCGAGCACGAGTAACGTTTCGCGATAAGATAACGTAGGGAATAGTTGATCGCTAGCTAAACTATGCATTGTATTTTTCTAGATAAAGATGATAGTGCACGGCGGGCTACTGGTGATCCTGAAATTGGTACTGATCCTTGCTGCATCGACTATTCCAGGAACGTGGATGTAAGTATGTCATATACATTTTTATTATTTAAATGATAATGTTGAAATAACTATCTTATTCATGCGTTTCAATCTCCTTTCTTATCTATTATTTCTATCTATCGTAAGAAAGTCAGATTGGATATTTTCTCGGAAACTAATCCTGTTTCTCGACAACTGTATTAAACTCGAACATACGATAGGGAGTCTTCTTTTTCCAACGCATGTTATTACTATCGATTAGTAGTCACCAATGATCAAAGAAGATTGTAATTGAAAAAAAAGAAATGAGAACAAATTCAAACAAAAAGACAATGTAATTGTAAGTAGTAAAAAGGAAAAACAAAAAGAAAGAAGCTTACAAATGTTTCTTTTACCTTGCGGAGAGTGATTCAGATCAGCCGATATAAATCTCTTCTTTGCAAGCGTATAAGAAGAAGAAGAAGAATAAGAAGAAGCAGTACCGGTCCTGTCACTCTCGACCGACCGACTGGAAGAGCCACTTGGACACGCAGATTGTTTATATTGCAAATAGTGGTAAATACGCACAGTCATCCTGTCCCTTTTTCCCTTTTCTCTTCTTCTTCTTCTTCTTCTTATCTTTCTTTATTTCTTTTTCTCTCTCATTTCCCAGTACGAAAGGTCGAACAACTATTTCGTGTTGGTTAGGTGGAAGAAGAACGTTTCCGTAAAAAGATACGCTTGGAAAAATCTAAACTTTTTACAAGTAAATCCCATTATTTTCGGGAGGGAAGTGATCGATGGAAAGAGATTTGGATAAAAGAAAAATCTGAACCGATTTCAACGAAATCACAATGCGGAGGAAAGAAAAAAGAGAGAAAAAGATAAAGCAAGAGAGAAGCGCGGGTGAGTCTGGACCATTCATTGATTGGTCATGCTATGGCGTAGGGCAAAGAATACTGGGGTGAGAATGGCAATTCAAAAATTAGACACACTCTCCTCGTTGGGGATACCAACCAACAAATGGACCGTGCGATACCTCCGGGCACGAAAAATTCCTCTCGATCGAGTTCCCACGAAATACAGACGGACCTACCTCTTCGACAAAGACCTAGAAATTATACGTTACGCGCTGATTTTGGCAAGATTCGAAAGGGTCATACCCTCGCCTTTTGCGATACCCCTGTCTACGCGTGCATATTAATTTATCGATCGTCAAGACCATTTGTAAAATCGCTAAAATTCAAGAATATACATCGACCCAACCAACTCATTTCGTTTATTTTCTTTTCTTTTTAGTTTTCTTTTTTTTCCCCATCCTCAACCAGTGCAACATCCACGACACATCGTCGCCGGGATAACATTTTCTTTTCCTATTAATCTGCTTGGTTCTGTGCGAGCCGTAATCGCGTGGGTGGGCCCGTCGCACCTCTAAGACAGTTAATCCTTCTTACTTTGCTTTGAGAATTAAGACAGGAACACAATGCGCCAAGGAGACCAACTTATTTCTATCTAAATCTTGACCTTATCTTCCAATTAGTCGTGCAATGATATGCCCGATATTGAGTTAATACCATTTCCTCCAGGGATTAAGAATCTTTTTCTTATTATTACAATGAACGAATAGTAAACATTGATCCGATTTTGGATACTTATACATAGAAATAGATTTATTTTTAATAATGAAAAATAATTGTACTTTTTAACCCTTTGAGTGTTGAATAATCTTAAGTGAAAATGCTTTGTAGGAACGGAATATTTGATTACTAGTATGGTTGTTCTGTTGATTGATAATACTAGCTGCAGCTAATAATAAATTAGAATATATAATTATTTTACTCAAATCGAATAACGAAAAAAAGTTTTTTTTCTAACATAATTTCGGTATGACAAAACTCGAAACAATTATTACCGATACATAAACTAATATTCAATTTTTTGCATTCATATCGACGACACATACGTGCGCGTCCATAGTTCACGCTGGCAACTTTTACCAAAACTTATGCAGGTATGCATCCATAGCACTTAAAGGATTAAAGTATCTAAAAAAAAAACAAAAAAAGAAAAGATCATCGATATCTTTATTCATAACAGATGCGATTATCACTTAGGCACTCGTGTTGTTAACGTTGGTTTGATATTAGATGAAATCCCGCGATAACCTTCGTGTTGTGCTTCAGAAATCTCTAATCTTGTATCTACGTTTTACATCCTTTTAGGTCAACGGCCAACAACTTTCTGAGATTAGATTCCACGGGAGCATAGATAAATATTTCGCGGGTGCTGTGTTATGTCCCCTACCTGCGTGAACTGTCCCGATTCAAATCGCAGCATAAACTCTCTTAAATAGCGTTTCACGCGAATCTCGCTGATATCTCCGAGCACCGATTAAAAAGTTGCCCCTCGAGAGTTTCTTTTCGGCCCACGTAAGGAAGAAAAAAAGAAAAGGAATTTAAAAAAATCCCATAAAATAAAAATGAACAACGTCGAACGGTCACGGTTCAGTCCGTATTGCTCACGTATCACGTTATTTTATTTAATGCATTAATTTAAAGGGTTTAAGGCGCGAGAGAAGATTAAGAAAGGAGAAAAAATGTGTTTGTTCGCTTTTTCTTGATCAAAAAAAAAAAGAAAAGAAAAGAAAAAAATAAGTTAGTCGTTCGTATCAAGACAAGACTGTGAATTTGATCATTTGAAAGAAAAGAAAAAGAAAAAGAAAAAAAAAGGAATTGATGTCTACATGGCTAAGTGTTTGAAATTGAAATTCGCACGTTAACGTACATTAATCTTCTAATCTATGCAATAAGAAATATGTATGCAAAGGAGATAAAAGCCGAACTGGGAACATAATAAATCGGATGATCCTCGTTGACCGAGAGGCTCGATATTTAACGTCGAAAGGACGACGGGTATGGGGGCTCGCGCTTATATTCGAACGTCGGTACAATCTTTTAAAAGACACAAGACATTACTTTTTCGGGACCGGGGGCCCCCAGTGCAACCCACGAGAATCCCAGAGTGGTTAGAGATGTTGGTTATGGTAGTAATGGTGATGGTGGTGGTAGTGGACTCTTGAGCTGCTGTTGCTGCTGCGTGGGCCGAATCCTTCGAAATATTATCGTTCCCTCCTGCCCATTTCCCCTCTCATGTCATTGTTTTACAGAGGGGAGTGCAAAGCCGATGATATATCGCTGCTGAAGCTCATTCTAGAATATTAATGTGCTCTATTATGTAGGTACTCCCTAGATTTTCTACCTCACCGGGGTTGCAAGCCGAATTCTAAAGAAATCGCACGGTTACAATATCACTCTGCTAAAATAATATTGGTGACATCAATACGGGGATTTCCTTTATGATTTCTCGGATAAACGATTCTTCTCTTTTCAAGCGTATCGCCGTTTTCTCCTACGCTTCACGATACCATTATTATCGTTGAATTTTCTCAACAAATAGTTCTATCTATTAATAACGAAACATAACGAGTGGCTATTATCTTATTATAGCAAAAAATCAATGCACGTATATATACACCTATACCCACGTCGACCGAGATAACTTTTACTGACCTTAACGTAAGGTTTTAATGCTCCGTTAAACATGCCCTTAATTAATTTAGCTAGCTCATTGAAAATAATTTTTGTTTAAGATCCGTAATCGATCCTGGATCGTTGCGTGATCATCCTTCTCCTCCTTCGCGTCGTCGTCATCTTCACACATAGGGGGAGAAATCATTGACGCGATTCTAATCAGCTCGATGCACGCTATTACGCACGATAGTACCCATAGACTGTATTCAAGAGATCGCATGAACGGCCATCTCGAATTACAGATTAGCTCGTCCCAGTCTGTAACCTCCCCTTGACTTCTGTCTTTGACGGCGTCGTTCCATCAACTCGGTCCGTTGACTCACAAATGCGCCATTAAGAATCGCCGTAGAGGAAATCCGAGGGCCGTTCCTCGCCCACGGGCTGCCTGCACCGAATTTATATAATCGCCGTAACAAATCTTTTCTAGGCGTTAAGGAGGGGCCTAGCTCGTTCACGATAGGGCTGCTTCGTAAACCACGTGCATTCGACTGCCTATCTCTTTAGCTATTGCTTTCCGGAGTAGTACCTTAGAAAAATATCCTTGCTTTGCTCCTAACCCCCCCCCCCACCTTCTTCTTTTTCTTCTTCTTCTGGTTCTTCTTCTTATGGCTACTACTATGGTAAAACTATATCGTATGCGTACCAAGGTATTCCCCATGATTGCAAAGGGGGATAACGATCGGAATGTCTGTGAATAGTGAATGGAAAGAAGACGACAAAAAACCAGAAGAATTATGCGTTCTCTTCTCGTTGAATCCTTTAAGTGGCCCATTATTTTTCGCAAAAAAAAAAAAAAAAAAAAAAAAGAACATAGAAGATTTTATTCTCTATCTTGTTAACTATCCATTTGGTTATTGGACGATTCATGAAAATAAAAAAGTCATATCATCCATCCATACATGATTTTAGAAATATGGGCATGCAGCATTTTCCACAATTGGAGACGGCTCAGCTGATGGAAACTTACGATGTAGAAGCCTCGACGATTTGCATCGGTCTGAAGGGTCTCTCACAGGGACAGGGGAAGCTTTGCCAATTATCCGTGGATCATATGCCGAGCGTGGCGAAGGGCGCCAAATTCGGAGTCCTCGAGTGCCAGCATCAGTTTCAAGATAGAAGGTGGAACTGTTCCACCGTCAATGATGAAACTGTTTTCGGGCCGATCCTTAAAATAGGTGCATCATTATCCTAATACTTCTCATTTCCAGAATACTAATAATCCCAATTAAGTGTTTTACTTATTCGGTGTAATTGGAATAATTGTACGTTGCAGCAAGCAGAGAAACTGCGTTTGTACATGCTATCACAGCAGCGGGGGTAGTTTATTCCATTAGTCGAGCTTGCAGGGATGGACAATTATCATCTTGCGGTTGTTCGAGAAGTAGCAGACCGAGAGATCTAAATCGCGAATGGATTTGGGGTGGTTGTGGGGATAATCTCGAATATGGATATAAGTGAGTGAAATAGTTCATGAATTATCTTTCTAAATTATTTTCTCCGCGTATTATAATACATTATATATATACGAATTTTTTTATACAGATTCACCCAATCATTCGTGGACGTAAGAGAACGCGAGCGTAGCTTTAAACGAGGTAGTAGAGAACAAGGAAGAAGCCTAATGAACTTGCATAACAACGAAGCAGGACGTAGGGTATCTATCGTCCTTTACTTTTGACAATTTAAATATGGACGAATGAAAAATTCAAATTGTTGTTTCTTAACAGGCTGTTATAAAAAGATCTAAAGTAACATGCAAATGTCACGGGGTTTCTGGTAGTTGCAGCTTGATCACCTGTTGGCAACAACTTGCATCGTTTCGAGAAATTGGTATGTCTTCCTTTTTTTGTACACATTTATCTTATGCAAATTTTTTTGGATAAAAAAAAAAAAGAAACAATTTGATCGATAATTCAACTTGTTCGACAGGTGATCTTTTATTGGACAAATACGATGGTGCAACCGAAGTTCGAGTAAACAGACGTGGCCGATTATCCATGCGAGATCCAAGATTTTCTTTGCCTACGGCCAATGATTTAGTTTATTTGGATGACTCGCCAAATTATTGCCTTCCAAATGATACTCTTGGCTCTTTAGGTAAAATACGAAAGAATATATTATTTCATTAATTAATTTTATGTTTTTAATAACGCCTACTATTTTTTTTACGTCACCGTAGGTACGCACGGACGAATTTGCAACAGAACATCATCCGGTATGGATGGTTGTAATCTACTCTGTTGTGGAAGGGGCTACAATACTCAGAAATCAACAATCAGGGAAAGATGCGATTGTAAATTTCATTGGTGTTGCTTCGTTGAATGTAAAACATGTGTGAAAAACATTGATATTCATACTTGCAAATAAATTCGCGTGTGTCATCATTACATACGAAAAATATACTTTAACAGTTAATACTACTTGGAATCCAAGTTTTCTACCATGAAGGTATCGAATAGCGAACAAATTTATGCAGTATGTAGAGTGTTCGGTTAAACGTGATCATTTACATGCATACATACATACATACCATCCATTTGCATTAACAAAATTTTTTTATCGTTATAATTTTGTCGCTATTGAACGACTTAAGATTGTTACGTTGATCATGGATATTTTGGAAGACGATTGATCACGAATTAAATTGAACACCCTACATAATTTGGTAGTGTAATTAGCACTATATCAACGACGATGTATATTTTGATAAAAAATCTTAGGATAATCGTACAAATTGTAGATTTATATTAGAAATTGATATATGTATGTAATCATAATTTAGAAATGTAATTAATTTGATCAAAATATTTGTAGATTATAATTTAAGCTGTGAACAACAACAAAATAACATATATATCGTATACTTTTATTTAAACAATTAATTTTATATATATATATATATGTTACTAAAAATAGAATACTTTTTGTGATGTGGATACAGTAGTATCGATATATCGTATGGCCTATTGGAAACTTATACTAAAGAAGGCCTTTTACTGCACAATTGTATTTCTTTGTGTTATATTCATCACGTGTATCATCCCTTTTGATGTATATTCTATCATAACCGATAAAACGATGATGATAATGTGATGATAATTATTTAAAATACTTCACTTTCTAAATACTAAACAATTTTAAGAACTCGTATTATTATATACGCAAATTTATTTATTGTCATTTATGAATAATTAGACATTGTAATAAAGAAATTACTGAAATAATTTTCCTAACGTGACTTTATATTTATGCTTGTTCGATAATATAAATTTTGAAAATTTTAGAAATTTATTTAGAAATATATTTCACTTTATGCTGTAAGAAAAAACTAATTAGAAATTAACAAAAATGAATGCATTTGATAATTCTAATAAATAATATTGATAAATCAATAAAATCTTGAATTAATATTAATGTAAATATTAAGGTTTCAGAGTTACTAAAAAATATTTCATTGCTTTAAACCCACCAAAAATGATAAACGATCAACTGAATAATTTATTGTTCTCAGACATTCCAAATCCATGCGTTTGATACAAATTTGCATAGTTTGAAAAGATCTATAAAAATTCTCTCTTATGTATATTATTTTGCAAAATTTTTATTATAGAAATAAAGATAATTAAATATATATTTTTATTTTATGTTATATTACGTCTATGTAACAATTAAAAAATGTTTTATTTCTTTTATCCGAATACGTTACAATGGCATCAAGCACCTTTTCTATTTATGACCATAGTTTAAAATATTTACTTAAAAAAGAATTAACTTTGGTTGCGTACATGTTATTCCTGAGTTTCCCATGGTTTCTCTGGTCGGAATAAACTCCACGGATACGGATGGATATATCTTTCAGGTTCACGAAGGATAATATTGTTCTTTTTTAATTGCTCTAATAATAATGATATCTTATTACTGGGATTCTCATCATAATGAAGTTCACATATTCCACTTTCTAGACAACGCAGTGCTAACACTTGTCCCAAGGCAATATATGCCATACTATCATATTGTCTAAAATATTTTAATGAAATGAAATCTTTGAAAATAAGATTATTATATAAATCAATATATATAAATATTAATAATTATATATATTAAACAAATATTTTATAAAAATTTGTTATATATATATAACATAGCATATTTTAAAGCTACAAACCTGTACAATTGTTTTTTTAGCGCCCATTCATTAGTTGACACAGAAATGACAGGACCATTCTCAAAATGTACTATTTCACCAATTACGTAACGTTTATGTGGTGTAATTTTTAATCTGTGTAAATATATAAAATTTGTAAAAATATAAATGTAAACAATGCTCTTTTAATGATAACCTATATATGATATTAAAATTATCATTTATTATAACCTTATATAAATAAATAACATACTTATGCCAGAAATTACGAAATTGTTTTTCGAGATGATATCCTTGAGGCTTCTGAGCTATTCGTAAACGTTCTAAATTTCGTGGATTCCGATTTATAACCTCAACGCAATTGCTTATTAAATTTGCATTAGCGTGTACTTGTCTTTTTATAAAAGAATTAGACAAATACGAGTATACATTTTTGGTAAACATAATCGCTTTGATATTTTTTCTTTTATAATTTATTAAATTATTTAAAAATCATAAGAATTCAATAAATACTTATCAATACTTAAAAATACACCAATTTATACATAATATCATAACAGAGCTCGAATGTGTATTTTAATATCGAGGATCGATTTGAGATTAAGAATCGATACTTGATATCGAAATTAGATTATTGCTATTAATAACTAATAAAATAAATATAAAATAAGAAAGTATGTATATATGTATATGTTAAAACATTTTTAATTGAAAAAAATGGTTTTTTTTTAATGAATTATCTCGACCCTACGGAAGTCCAAAATAAAATTTGAATTTTACCGCGTTGAAGGTCTATCTTCTTACGTCTGCATATATCATGGATGTAACTATTCCATGATTTAAGCTTAGCCATTATTTTCAGCAAATGTTTCAGCGCTGAAGCGCGCTGAAGAGTGGTGGTTAGTTATGGAGGATATGTTATACCTCAGGAAGACAATATTTATCTTATAATAATGGAATAAAATATAACACTAATAGTCAAGTTGAAATAGATAATAAATTCAATTAAAATGGGTACCGTTGAGTACGGTTTTGCTTTAATCGGAGGATTAATGCCTGTAAGTAAATATCCATTAATAAGTAAATTGTATATTTTCAACAATTAGATTATAACATTAGATTATAGCAAGCATGTATTTCTTATCCTTTATTCTTTTTATTTCATTTTTATTTCCAGCAAATTCAAGCACTTATAGCTCCGCCAGTATCAGAAGACTCTAAATCAGCTAAATCTAAAAGAGAAAAGGAGGAAAAGAAACATCCTTATTTTAAAAGACGAGGTCGTGGCCATAATCATGATTTTTGCGATGCGTGTAGAGACGGAGGTGAACTAATATGTTGCGACAAATGTCCAGCATCTTACCACTTACAATGCCAGTGAGTCAATGATAAATAATAGGTCTTTGATTCACGCGATTGTATAAATGTATTTAAAATAATGTATTTCATGCTTTTTTAAATTCACTATCAAATTATTGAACGAAGAGCATGCTTTGTAAAAAAACAAACTAATGATATAAGACTATCCTCAGACATGTATTTATAATAAAAGTTTGAAAAATTTATTCTGCATTACCAAGTGAACATTATAATTTGTCCTTTCTATTGATGTCATTAGAGATCTTGTATTATTATCTATTTATAATTGTTTTTTCATGTAGTTATCCGCCAGTGGATCCAACAGATATACCTAATGGTGAATGGTTGTGTTATGCCTGTCGATGTGCAACGAAAAGAGAAATTTTAGGAAATAAAGGAAATGATAAAAAGAAGAAAAAGTCTGCATTAGAAATCTTAGCTTTAGCAGCCTCTTTAGTTAATCCTCGTGAATTTGAGCTTCCGAAAGAGTTACAGTTGCCAATAATATTTCCTGGAAGTAACAAAGTAGATTATGTATCTGGTAGAAGAGGGAAGCAACAGAGTTCATCAAACAGCAATGGTAATTGTTGCTTTTTGCTCTTACAATTCTTGACATTTGTATTATTTGAAATTATTTAAATAAAAATTTTTTGTATTAGTAGGGAAAAGTCATTGCTTGGATAATAATCTGATGGTACCATTACCGGCTCGTCTATGCTTCGAATGCGGACGTAGTTGCAGGAAAGCGCCATTAATTGCATGCGATTACTGCCCACTCTATTTTCATCAGGATTGTCTGGATCCTCCACTAACTGCCTTTCCTATTGGAAGATGGATGTGTCCTAATCATCCGAATCATTTTATAGATCAAAATCTTTTAACTTCGTGTAGAGTAACAGAACGTATCAAGCTTTGGGATAAATATGCTAATCAAAGGATAGATCAGCATGCCGTGAAACTTGATTTTTTGCGTAAAGCAAGTACTGCCAATCCATTATTTCGCACAAAAGTAAGATTAGAAGGACGTATGCGGGTAAAAGTTCCTCTTTCAGTTAAATACCACTATGAAAATCCACCTCATTTGGATCTTAGTCATTTCAATCAAGAAACTTCTATAAGATCAACAATTAAATTAGAAAATGAGCGAAAAGAAAAAGATAAAGAAACTACAATAATAAATAATTTGGATACACTGAAAAAAATTAATCATACAGATGACAAGGAATCGGATATGCTAATGGATATTGATAATTCACCGTGCAAAAATAATGTAACAGAGGTAAAATGTGACAGGAAAGAAAACGATGAAGAAAAATCTATTGGTAAAGTGGAATTGATTGAGTCAAGTGAATCCTGTGAAAAACAAAATAATATAACACATTCGGATCAGTTTACATACAATGTAAAAGAAGGAGTGCAGTTATTAGAAAGACCAGTGTTAGAAGCATTAGCGCGTCAAAGATTAGAACAAATATTAAATCCAGAAGGAGATAATTATAACGCGATTAATTGTAAAGTTAAAGCTCGAGCTGTACTTTTTTCTTTAAGCGAGAAACCTAAACCACCTGTTTTTATGATTAATAAAACTATGACTATTGGAAATGGACCAAATTGTGATTTAGTTCTATCTAGTTATGGTACTTGCAGATTAATATCTTCTAAACATGCTATCATATTTTTTGACGAGGTAAACATTTTTCCAAGATTATTTTATTTAAAAATATAAAGTTATCTAATATTGGTAACATCGATAATACGATTATTTGTCTTATTTGTTTTAGGCAACAAATCATTACGAATTACTTAATTACAGTGAACATGGAACAATTGTTGATAATGTGTTGTATTCTTGTAACTATACGAAAGAATTAGAAAATGATAATAAGGAGGACAGCGATGACAGTAAAATAATAAGTAAAGAACAAGAAACATCAGAAATGGTTAAATCGATAATATACAAAGAAAATCCTCCTCCTTTGAAAAATGCATGTAAAGAAAGTTTATGTAAATGCAGCACAAAGTATCGAGAAGTTAAAAAAATAGATTATTTGGAAGAAGGTTGGGAAGGAAGTGCGATTATTGCTCACGGATCTATTCTAAGCTTTGGATGTCTTACATTTGTGTTTAATACGATAAGTTCACAATTAGATTATTGAGATCTAACATTGTAAATACTTGTGTACTTTGTGCATAGAACTTTTTAAGTCAATAAGTAAATTAAAAAATGATCTTTTTTATTATATCATGTAAGACTTTGTAACCTGTGATAAGGAACATTAAAACATAGTGTTATGAAAACAGTTTATTAAAATATACACCATGCATGATTTTTTTAACTGTTATTCGTGTCATCTGCATCATCATCATTACAGGGTTCATCGAAATCTCTAATTCTAACATCTTCATCTTCTCCGTATTGAATAATATTATTGATAGTAAGTTTGATATCAGCGATACTTTCGTCATCTTTAATATTCAAGGGAAGAAAACGAACTAAACTATAATCTTCAATAAGTTTACCTATGGCTTCTGTAAGTTTTTGATATTTTTTATTCCATGGATCATTTTCCATATTAGATAACAAACTATATGGATCAGGTTCCAAATATTCATCTAATTGTTTTTTCGAAGACTTCGATATCAAATCCATTTTACTTAATATGTTAACATGTGGTATTTCTAGATTTACCATTACGCTTAAAGCTGCCATAGTACCTGATAAAAACTTCGATCCATCTATCATAAATTGACTATCCATTATAAATACTCCGCATATACGAAAATTCATATTTTGTAACATTTTAATTAACTGACGCATAACTTTCATATGTGTATATAGTTCTATTTGCCCAGGACAATCAAAAATAACATAATCGCCATCTACATCATCTAATTTTTCTTGCAACCAAGTTGAATTTTCTATTAGGTATCTATAAACAAGGGGAAAACAAGATTTTTATTGAAATAATTCGGAAATAAATATAATTAAGATAGAATATCTGTTTAACTTACTCCATACAAAATACAAGACCACCATTAGGCCCATATCTCAACTCCTCATCTTCCATAGCATCATCTAATTCAATTAATTCTCTTATGTCAATGAAAGGTTCATAATCAAAATGTTCTGCTGCAGGATCTAAATTGACTACTTCTATTGTTTTCATTTCATCTGCTGCACTATGTTGCATGATAGAACAATACGTTGACTAAACAAATAGATTTTACATTAGTTTAATTATTGATAAACTTATTAAATATTTCACATATTAATTTTTATATAAAATATATAATATAAACGTATATTAATTTTATAATAAAAGTTACATTAAAATACTTTAATATATTTTTAAATATTTACATTATTTAAGTTTATCATTTTGTTGAAACATTAATACGCAATAATCCGATATTTAAAGACTATGTTTTTTTTTATTAATAATATAAAAATTAATTAAAAAATACCTTTCCACTACCAGCAGGTCCCATAACAAGTTGCGCGTACCTCATTTTGATAATAATTTATTTTATTTCTACACATATAAATTTAAATTCTATGATTATTTACTCTTTTTAGATTTTTTATACCTCGTAATACATAATTGAAGATTAAGGTTAAGTTTATTTCTCATATCCACGAAATAACTATACACTAGTATAACAACGGAGCTATATATAAGGAGAACGATCGAGATAGGCGTTTGCATCGAATTTGTGTTGTTGAAAATGACTGAATATCGAGTACGATAATTATCCACGAGAGCGGCGGTGATGTTCTTAAGTTTAGATTTAAGTACGTGTGATTTTATAAATAAACAAATAAAATTAATAGTTCTCTTTGATGTTTTTGTTTTAATTACTGGTTTTAAAAATCAGACCAAGCGACTAGACGCGCTCTCTAGTGGCAATAAAAATCATCCTTTCATTGTGAATATTGTACCCACCCACATTTATAACATGGCGATCGTCCTTCTTGTATATAGGTTTCATGTGATTTATGATCATTTATTCCTATTTTTTTTCCGACGATCAGATGTTTTTTTCTCTCATTTCTACAATCGTCGTAGTAAATTGTTAAAAAATTATAAATTAAAAACAAAAATTGTACAAAATCAAAAATTGTACAATAACCCTGACGCAACCTTAACACGACAAAAGTATGATTTGTAATATCTAAATGTTTAAAATTGATCCTTCGAAGAGTTCTATATATATATAAGAAGAATAATAATAAGCAATACTTATCATAGAAAAATCCAATTAATTATAAAAATGATACATTAAATTCTTTTAAATTTAATCTATTCTCTATTTTCTTATTTTTAACGAAACCTATTAACGCTTACGGATTCCTAAATCTTATATAAAATATGTAAATAATTGATTAGTTTATAAGTAGTCATTGATTTTTGTCTCCATCGTATCTTATTTAATGATTTATATTTTAAGCAATCATAAGCTTGATATTATTTTCGAAAGAAAATATATAATATAAATAAGAAAGTATATGAAGTCATAATATATATAAAATTCCATCGTTATGTGATCAA